TCGCCAAGTGGCTCGCAGGTCTTTGTGCTGTTGGTTGGGGTCCGCCATCAAATTCAAAGTTGGGGCACCCCAGCCACAGGACCTAGTCGGGGAGCGTGAATGGACCACGGCCGTGCCTATTCACAAGTCATTCATTATTCTCCATCGACCAGGACGGCCCGTCCGTCCCTCGGGCCAACAGCGTGGCAGGCTTGCCCTGATGGCGGACGCGTTTTGAGGCTGATTGTGAGGGCTAGTGCTGTGCCAGCAGCAAGCAAACTTTTTCCTCAGGAGTCAGTCAGGACGCCGACAATACATGGGCGGCAGTGGCGATTCGTATTCATCATCAGCCTTGCCACAGCAAATCGTCAATGAATGGACCAGAAATGAGAATAAATCCAAGTGCCGACCGGCAGCCAAAAGGTCACGGATGGACTTCACTTCAAACTGGCGCAGGGAGACTTGGTGCCCGTCCCGTTCAGCACCGTTATTCGGCTGGGTTCCAACTGTAGATAGATGTGCGATGAATGAGTCGGATCTGGAAACGCACGCACACCTCCCCAGCTCACAGGGCCGCATCGTGGCCTTTTGGAGAGTGGATGGGGGTGTGTCTAATAAAGACTCGGGAGCCTCTCGCGATGCCAGCCTTGGACCAACGACGTGGAATGTTCTGTTCCAAGCCTACCGAGTAGCCGCCATACGGCGCAGCTATTGCTGCAGACTGATGGCCTTGGGCCTTGGCCCTTGACAACGTCTCGTGCTTGATGCGCAGACATATTACTCGGTAGTCAGCCGCTTAGTCGGGACAAGAAAACCGGCTTATGAGCTCGCGCCGTGCGAATTTTTTGGTGCCGAGCACGAGTGTGCGTGACGGACGGAATGTGACAAAGATGGCTGCGCTTCATGTCAACGTCGCATGCGCTGCAGCTTCTTTAGCGCTGCAGGGCTGACAAACCAGAATCTCGGTCTTCGCCACGAGGGGAACACAGTCATCATTCTCACCTTGGTGCGGTGGCTCCTCATGGCGGCAGTGGTTTTTTTTTTTTTCCTCTTCCTTTACGGATTGCTGACTATGGGACCGGTCAGGACCGCATCGCATCGCATCGCGTCGCATCGCGTCGCATCCCACGAGAACGCTCGGAGCAGCTTTCGGTCCTGTTCTTATTACCCCAGACTCGCTACGGCACAATCGCAGTTACTATTCCTGTCTTCCATTTTACCAAGTTGTTGGTCAGGGCTTTGTCTGAGGGAGTACGTACGGAGTAGTAGTAATACACATGACGGAACAGGCTAAGCTATTCCGGAGCTATCCAAGGTCAGAAATAAAGGCGCTTCTTCCAACGTCCTTGAAGCCAGGCGACGGGACAAGACAAAGCGTACTGCGTACTCTCCCAACGTCCAAGGGTGGGCGGTCGTCTTACGCCCCATGCAAATATGGCCATCTTGCCTGCGGCCTCGGAGCAGTTGGAAGACAAGTGGCCAAACTGAATTCGCAACACCGTCACGATATACAGCAAAGCTGTGAGATTGGTCGCGCCTCAAGACCTACCGGTCGGATGGCTGGAACGGGACAAGTGGTGGGATGGGATACACTTCGATACACTCTGCCGAGAGTCTCGCGGGTTTTTTGCCTCCGCGTTCGCTTGCAATGCAGACAGACCGCCAGTTTGGCCAAGACCTTTTTGAGCCCTGCAAGCGAGCACGAGACGCACCGAGCTGGCACACCAGGGGTGCTCGCTACTACTACTACTATATTAATGCGAGGCTTATTACACCCACATACTCCGTACATCCAGTACGTACTCCGGACGGGTGACGGATCCGCCAAAGGGACGCATGGATGGGTAGGGGATGGGCCTGTCTGAGGTCCAAGTCCCAGTGTCAATGATGCCGACAGTCTACAGAGCATGCTTGCTGGTCAAGTTTCCTGTTTGCCACAACTTCAGGCTGGCATCCATTCTTTTCCAGTAGCTACGGCATAGTATGACTCATACTGATCGTCCCTGGACTGGTGAAGAGCATGACTAGAGCAGTGCCTCTTGGTCCGGGTATCGGCGGGCAAACGCTGTCGACATGTGGCCTTGGCCACGAAGCCACGAAGCAGGCATGTATGGTGCACATACGAAGTAACTATGATATAAGAAGAAATTGCTCATCTCTGGGCATACATACGGACATGCGTATGTACATGCTGCGGACAGGCATGCACACACACACACACACACACACATGTACATACATACATGGCTGCTGCTCAGCATATGGGTGGATGGACGAAGCCACCGAAGCCGGATTCAACATGTTTCAGACAGATTGCACCATGTATGCCGGTTCATCGGTATCCCACGCAAGAGCCGGTGAGAGTTCACACGCAGCTCAGGCACACCGGTCGACGGGCCCAAAGGAACGCAGGGAGTACGGAGTACCAAGAATTGGATAATTGCTTGCATGTGGCTTCCAAGTTCTGGCAACACTGCCGCACAGAAGCCGACATCAACCATCCAGTCTGATGCACATTGCCGGTCCGTATCTTTCTCTCTGATGACTCTTGTATGAATGTTCATGTGGCAATCATGCCAGCACACACTTACATTGCTGCCCATCGCCATGCGCGCCGGCTGTGACTAAAATCACGATTGGGCCCTTGAGAGACTTGCCTCGACGCCCGAAGAATGAAAGAAAAAAAGGTCATCTCTGTGGAATACGACATGGCGTCAAGTTGTGGTTTTCTTTAACGAATTGTCCTCGGCAGATGAGATGGCATCCGCCGCCGCCCGCCGCCACGACGAAACCAGCCCACGATGCTCGTTTGCTTTGTTGTGAAGCACAGCGACGCCCTCGACCTCCTTTCTTTCTCGCTTCTTTCTTCTTCTTTTTTTTTTTTTTATTGGGGGGGTGCGTTTGGTATGTCCCTTCCCGCCGCCGTCCCAGGGACTCGGCTCAGCCCCTTGTCGTCTCGTTTCGCTTACCAGCCAGCATACTCCGTACGGAATAGTACTACGGAGTACTGCCAGTGCAGACAGAGCAGAAGGCTTAGTTTTGTATTCTCCAAATCCTCGGGACGTACGTATGCTTGCTCCGGGGAGCACGGGAAAGCACCCTGTCCGCCCGCCCGCCCGCCCGCCGCCGTGTGCGTGCCTTGTCTGCTCCGAATTCTCCACTGTTACCCTTGCCTCGCCCGAGTTTGTTGAATAGTAGTTCAGACGGGTCTTCAGGGGAAGAAGGGGGGGGGTGTCACATTCGTCAACGGGAGATGCCATGTTTGCCTCCCTTTCTTTCCCTTGCCCGGAAACTTTGAAAAAGTCTGGAGTGTCATGGCGCCAGGATCCCCCGCGCCTCTCAACCAAGACATCTAGCTGTCCAATCGCTGAGCAAGACGTTACTCTTCAGGATGGCGAGAACGAGAAGCCTCCAGCTACACAAGACAGCGATCGGCCCCCACTGTTGGACTCGGTTGCGACAAGTTGCCCAGATACGATACGGAACCAGCTTCCTCCGAACGGCACTTTACATCTTGACAAAACTCACCGTGGCTGAACAGTTGAGGAACACGATCCGCCGAGGCGGCCAGTGGGACGTGGGACGCAGATCCGGTCGCTTGTGACTCGTGAGGCCCGAAACTCTTCGCATAACCTCCCCCCCCCCCCCCCCCCCCCCGGC